CTGAACTGAGGGGCATTTTTGTGGTCACTCCCATCAGTCTTGGGTTAGAGTAGAGAAGTCATGGGCTTGCAGTTGAGAGCCCTAGCTTGGGAAAATGGTTTATTTGCTGTCTTGCTGGTGTTTAGTCACTGAGTCGTGTCGTTTGCCCTCTGTGAGTCTCAGCTATTCCCTCCTTCTAGTGAAAGAATTGATTGTAAGCAGTGGATTTCCAATGTTTTCTGAAATTCCTTGCTCAAACAGAGATCCAATATGTCAGTCTAATACAATATGTACCACATGCATGTGTGCTCAGTCATGTCCAACTCTTTGCGACCCCATGGACTGTAGCCCTGCCAGGCTTCTCTGTCTATGGGATTTCCCAAGCAAGAATACAGGAGTGGGTTGCCATTTCCTCCTCCAGGAGGTTTTCCCACCCCAAGGATCAAACCTGTGTCTCTTGCATTGCAGGCAGATTCTTTGCCACTGAGCCATTTTGGAAGACCCAATATATAGCACAGGTGAGGTCAAAGCTGCTGTGAGTGAGGAGGGTTCTGAGCACATCTCACCTAGCCATTCACCCTGCCTCCTCCTTTGGAGGCTCAGAAGAATGCCCCCTAAACCCCTCGGAACAAAGGGCAGAAACCACAGCTCTGATTCTACAGGAACTCCAAGTTCTGGTTGGCCGGTCTTGGGAATTTCTGTTTTAATTTTATTGGCCTCAAGGAAACCAGGAAAATGCCAACATATGTCAATCAAACTGTCCTCAAAACCCTCTGGGATATTCACCCAAGTTCATGGCTTTGCTTTTCATTGCTTTCTGGAATGCTGCCATTCCCCACCCCTCGCCTCACCTGCTCACACCTGTCATCCTGGTCCTGCCTTGGTTTCCGAGTTGCCCTCCTGACGGCTCCGTCCACACAGGCAACTGAAACCTTTTCTTTTCTTTTTTAATTAGAGGATAATTGCTTTACAATGTTGTGTTGGCTTCTGTTGTACAACAACATGAATCAGCCATAATTATATGTATGTATATCTCCTCCCCCTCCCATCTCACCCTTCTAGGTTGTCATAGAGCACCAGGCTCTATGTTATATAGCATATATATATATACACATACATATATAGGCTCCCTATGTTATATAACAACTTCCCGCTACTTATCTATTTTGCACATGAGAAAGGTTTTTCATGATAAAGGCTTTTCAGTGGGCTTTCCAGGTGGCGCTAGTGGTAAAGATTCCGCCTGCTAGTGTAGGAGATGCAAGAAACGTGGGTTCCATCCCTGGGTCCGGAAGATCCCCTGGAGAAGGAAATGGCAACCCACTCCAGTTTTCTTGCCTAAGAAATCCCATGGACAGAGGAACTGGCGGGCTACAGTCCATGAGGCCTCAAAGAGTCGGACATGACTGAGCACAAATTACACAAAGACTTTTCAAAATCTTGCTTCCTCACTCCTCAGGGGTCAGCCAGCTACAGCTTAGGACAACAACAAAAAAAAATGTGTGTGTGACCTCAAGGAGATGTAGTGAAACTGCTTTTTTTTTTTTTCAGTGTCTGATCTTTCTCCTTTCAACAAAGCAGTTTTGTGTCTGGGCTCAACGTTTAAGATGCTTTCTAAAAGAAGAGAAACTTTGTACCTTGGGATATGTTTAAACAGCCCCAGGAAAGCCGAGGGGTCCCTGTGGTGTTTGCAAATGTAGAAACGACAAATGCAGCTCACAGAGTGGGCTGGGCAGAGATAGCCGCCACCCTCCCTGGCCACCTAGGAACGTATTAAAAAATCCGAGAGGCGGGTGTGACTGAGGGTCCTCAGGCAGTCCGACAGCAGAGCTGCCACTGCAGACCCCCATGGCCGGTACTCAGTTCTGAGACTTACTTACAACTCAGTGTTAGTCGCTCAGTCATGTCCGACACTTTGCAACCCCATGGACTGTATATAGCCTGCCAGGCTCCTCTGTCCATGGAATTCTCCAGATAAGAATACTTGTGTGAGTAGCCATTCCCTTCTCCACTGGATATTCCTGGACCAGGGACTGAACCCAGGTCTCCGGCCTTACAGGCAGATTCTTTACCATCTGAACTGCCTGGGAAGCCCATTTACAATGAAGCCCGTGGGTAAATGGGGAAGACACAATGTCACCAGTCAGTCCTTTGAAAACATGGCTCAGTGAGTCCCCTCCGGGGCAGGGAGTCTCCGAGAACAGGGACAGACTCGGGCCCGAGTCATCATCAGCAGAGGGCGTCAAGTGGGGTAGCGGGAGATAAGCCTCAGATCTGCTCCATCTTGGTCTCTGAGCTGGGGTGCTTTTAAAGGGGAAGAGCAAAGAAACAGGGATTAACCATTGTTTTGTGACATTTCTTAATCGTACTTTCAGGGGTCAGGATTCTCTTGTTTATGACTCTCTGGCCAGGTGATCTATGGCTCAGGGGTCTGTGAGCTCACCTGGCCTTGGAGAAACAACCCGAGTTTGTGCATTAGTAATGAGACCTACAGCAGCAACCTCAGTGCGTTAATGAAGTTCTGACCACAATGGTCTTAGTCATCTAACTCGGGTTGATTAGCGCTCAGTTAGCACAACATGGAGTTCTGAGGGGACAGAACAGGATTGAGGTCAGAGGAAGGGGACAGTTTGGGTAGAGAGATTAATCATAAACTCAGTAAGGGAACACGGTTTTGGGGGGCTCGGTTTCACTATTACACTTTTTAACAGCAAACTGGGAATCTCTACTCACTTGAGGAAGTCAGCCACCTGGGTGTGAATGTGTGTGCTGCGTATTTACTCAAAGGTTGTGCCTTTGAATGGCTAATTTCACTGATGTCAGATGCTCAGAAAGTGTCCCCAGCAACGGAGTGTTCGGAGTGTTACGTTTTGGTGGAAATTAGACGGGACACACTTCTGTTTGGCTGACAGCATTGTTATGAATAAATTTCGGTGACCATTTAGGCAAATGATTTTAAACTGAACAGAAACATCTCCTGTTGTACTTAACACTGAAAGATTCAGTTGGCTGAATTAAAAGTCTGAATAAATGAACTTGCTTGTACCCTTTTAAAAATCTCTCCTTCTGCCCTCACAGCAACTACTGATTTACACTTTCACAGTAAATTAGTTTGTTTTGTAGAATTTTATATGATGGGAATCATAAAAATGTTTACATTTTAAAAATTGTACTTTCCCTCAATGCTGCATAATTATTTCATGATTCATAATTCATAGCTTCATTCTTTTTATAGCCATGTACTATCCTGTATAGATGCCCCACAGTTTCCTTACCCACTTAATGGACATTCGGCTTGTTTCCAGTTTTGGCTTTTACAAACAACGCCTTATGTTACACACACACACAAAATCTGAATAAATGAAACATAGCAATGGGTTGATAATTTTGGTGGAAGTTGGTGACGTGTGTACACTCAACACGGCAGTGGGAGTGAAGTCGCATAGGATGGTCCTCAGAGAACTCCTGGTCTGAGATTGTTGTTCCCAATGCCTTGTGATTGTCACAGCTCCTCACAGACACAGTCATGGAGCCATCTCTGCTCACACTCCACTGACCTCCTCCAGTGAGAGGAGCTGTGGGGCTGGCTGCTGGCGGTTGGGGCCTGGCCCTGTTCTCCCGACTTCTCACCTAGTGTTCTCGAAATGCTAGCCAGCAGCTCCATAGCTCGTTAAACTGGACTGATGTTCTGATGGCTTGCAAAGCAAATTTTTTTACAGCTGTTATAAAGGTCTCATTGCTCAAGTGTAATCGAGCAAAACTGCCAAGCCCCCTCCACTCCCTGGACGCTGGGATTTGCAAGGGCAACAGAAAGTGTGCAGTTGACTCCAGAAATAACTGCACCCAGCCCAAAACTCCTGGGACAATACGTGGAAGGTTCCAGGAGGGGCAAAGTTCCCTTACAAGGGATAGTCCGGGGCTCGGCAGCTCGTGTTCCAGTCCCTCTCTGCAACCCACCAGCCTGGGGTTGGGGAGTAGTCGCCAGATCCCTGATGCCTCAGCGTCCTTGTCTGTACACAGGGGGGATTGTGGACTCCACTTAGGGTCAAGGAGTTAGTCAGTGCAGAGCATTGTTGTAAGTGCTCTTACGTTCAGCACCTACTGCGCGCCAGAAGCTGTGCATACAGAGAGGAACAAAATAGACAGAGATCCTTGCCCTTGTGGAATTTATACTTGGGGTGGGGGCACACCATGGACACTCTATAAGGTTAATAGCCCCTAATTAGGTCAGACAGTTGCCAACAAGCCAGGTACCATCCCACATTTGGGGGTGTTCTTCCCATGGGCCTTTGCCCGTGGGGTGACACCTCACCACTGCCGCATTCTGCCAACCAGCAGCCATCTGTACACAAGATGCGCTGCCCAAACCCCTGAGATCCCCCACGAGCCTCTGCACCTTCCCACCCTTCCCTTCAACAGGAAGGCCTGTGTTTTGCATCTTCAGGGGACTGGGGCAGAGCTCCATCAGTCAGAAGTTGTGTAAGGGCCTGTCATGGCTGGTCCAGGGGCCGTAGGCCACGTGGCACTCATTAACGACTGTCTGTTCAATGATTATCTGCCTGGGTTTATTGTGGTGAGCTAGTGCAAAGCATAACTGATTGTGGCCGTGATCCAAAGACCAGCCCCTGACGTCAGAGTCGAGCCTCTCTGGGTGTGACTGAGGGGTGGGGCCTCTCTCCTTCTTGGAATTTAAAGGCCAGGAAGTTCTGCCTCCAAACCCCAAACAGGGCCTTCCCACTGGGAACGCACGCTCACCCGCGGGAAGAGCCTTGCAAGAGACCCTTGGGCCTCTGACCTGATCATCCAAAGAGAAGAAAGGTAGGCAGAGCCTGTTCACATACCTTTCCAGCAAACTTCAGCACTAATAGGAACTGGTTTTCTTTTTCCTCCCAGCCATGATGGTGACCCCAACAAAGTGTGCGGAGTTGAGGGTATCCTTGGTTGTCTTTGTTCATGAAGCCTGTGCTTTTTCTACTGCAGGGAACCTCAGCATCCGTGCCCCCCAGCCCAGCTCTGCAGATATGCCTCCCCAGCTCTCAGACGGCCTCAACTACTCAGCCAAAATCGTCCGGGGCTCCCTGGACAGCCTGCCCCAGGCTGTGAGGGAGTTCGTGGAGAGCAGCGCCAAGCTGTGCCGGCCCGACCAAGTCCACATCTGTGATGGCTCCGAGGAGGAGAACCGGCAGCTGCTGAGCCACATGGAGGAGGAGGGTGTGATCAAGAGGCTGAAGAAGTATGACAACTGGTGAGCACAGCTCTGCCCCCCGGCATTCGGCCTTTCTCTCTACCCAGGGCGCAGGTGGAATGAGGAGGACGTGGGCCTCAGCAGAGCCGGGGTGGGGCTGCGTGGTTTGCAGGCTCTTGATAAACTTAGTAAAAGAGCCAGAACCATGTAGACTTAATTTTATGACATTTGCAGAGCAGCCCAAGTCATCAATGCAGGGGCGCGGGCAAACTCTCTTTGCAAACCAGGTCCCCAATTGAAAGGAAGGTCCGACAATCCCGGTCCTAAAACACTAACTTCTGGTCTAGTGAGTGTCTCTCTGACCACGTCCCAGTGGATGTGGCTGTGTCCACATTGATGGCGCATCCTTAGTGCCCTGGTACCTGCCAGACATGGGAAGAACATGATGATGAGAAAACTGGTCCCTTCCTGAATGGTCCATGGCCGAGGGAACCTAGGGAGCAGATGCCATGCAGAATACCGGCACTTCTCTAATCCCCACCTGTGTATTTTCAATTTTTATTTACTTGTTTATTTTCAGCTGTGCTGGGTCTTCATTGCTGCAAGGGCTTTTCTTTAGTTGCAGAGAGCGGGGGCCACGTTTTAGTTGCAATGCCAGGGCTTCTCATTGTGGTGGCTTCTCGTGTTGCAGAGCACGGGCTCTAGAGTGTGGGGGCTTCAGTAGCTGCGGCTCCTGCACTCTTGCACACAGGCTCAGGCTCAGCAGTTGTGGTGAAAGGGCCTAGTTGCTCCATGGCACGTGGGATCTTCCCGGATCAGAAATCGAGCCTGTGTCCCTTGCATTGCAACGCAGATTCTTTACCACCGAGCCACTAGGGAAGCCCCTAATCTCTGTATTTTAATTTTTTTTTTTTTTTTTGCAGCTGGTTGGCTCTCACAGACCCCAGGGATGTGGCCAGAATTGAAAGCAAGACGGTTATCATCACTCGAGAGCAAAGAGATACGGTGCCCATCCCCCAAACCGGCCTCAGCCAGCTGGGCCGCTGGATGTCCGAGGAGGATTTTGAGAAAGCATTCAACGTCCGATTTCCAGGGTGCATGAAAGGTGAGTGAAACATATATTTGACTGGGTACAACATCAGCAAACCTTTTATTATCATCTCTATCCTATCGGTAATTGTCTCAGGAACTCCCATTGCTCGGAGAGTTATAAGTTCCACATAAGGATTGGCCACGTGTTGAAAATGTACATCTCAGTTCTGGTTTTATAGACTGCCTTCGACCACCAGGAAAACAATTTCTATGCTTGTGGATTTAAGATAGCTTGGTGGAACCCAGCTGCACATTTATGAAAACTTAATTTTGCTGTCATGGCCACCTTTTCATTTGGTGTTGTTGAGTTGCTAAGTTGTGTCCTACTTTTTGCAACTCCATGGACTTCAGCATGCCAGGCTCCTCTGTCCTCCACTGTCTTCTGGGTTTTGCTTAAATTCTTGTCCACTGAGTTGGTGATGCCATCCAGCCATCTCATCCTCTGCCACCCCTTTCTACTTTTGCCCTCAATCTTTCCTGGTATCTTTTTCAATGAGTCGGTTCTTCACATCAGGTGGCCAAAGTATTAGAGCTTCAGCGTCAGTCCTTCCAATGAGTATTCAGGGTTGATTTCCTTTAGGATTGACTGGAGTAATCTCGTAGTCCACAGGACTCTCTTGTAGTCTTTAGGGTTGATTTCCTTTAGGATTGACTGGAGTAATCTCCTTGCAGTCTACAGGACTTATCTAATCAAGGGGCTGGTGGCAAGCAAGATGTGATGTTGTTGGAGGGGGATCATGAGAAGGGTCATGATTGGCGGTTGCCTGTGAGTCTGGGATTGTTTTTCACCAGCTCCCACCTCCCGGCCCACAGGTCGCACCATGTACGTCATCCCGTTCAGCATGGGGCCCCTGGGCTCTCCTCTGTCCAAGATTGGCATCGAGCTGACAGACTCACCCTACGTGGTGACCAGCATGCGCATCATGACGAGGATGGGCACTGCCGTCCTGGAAGCGCTGGGGGATGGCGAGTTCGTCAAGTGCCTCCACTCCGTGGGGTGCCCTTTGCCTTTAAAAAGTAAGCACATTATTTCAAAATCAAAAGCCGGAATTAAAAAAAGAAAAAGCTTACCCTTAAACTCCGTTGGAGACTTGGCACACTCATGTGGGCGTGTCCTCCTGCGCAGAGCCTTTGGTTAACAACTGGGCCTGTAACCCCGAGCTCACACTCATCGCCCACCTGCCCGACCGCCGAGAAATCATCTCCTTTGGGAGTGGGTACGGCGGGAACTCGCTCCTTGGGAAGAAGTGCTTTGCCCTCAGGATGGCCAGCCGGCTGGCCAAGGAGGAGGGGTGGCTGGCAGAGCACATGCTGGTAAGACGCAGGGAATTCTAAATGTGTGCAGCCGAGGGTCGGGCAGAGGAGGGGAAGTGGCAGACCCCTACTGCATTAGCATTCCTTTTAGGCATCAGCGTTTCAGTGCTCCAAGGACATTGGGAATTCCATCAGTAACGATGAATGGCTTCCAGGCCCCCTCCTAGACCAGGGCGTGGACCTCTAGGGCAGAAAGGAACCAAGCGCTTCAGGAGAAATCTTGTCTCCAACAGATTCTGGGCATCACCAACCCCAAGGGCCAGAAGAAGTACTTCGCAGCTGCATTTCCCAGCGCCTGTGGGAAGACCAACCTGGCCATGATGAACCCTACCCTCCCAGGATGGAAAGTAGAGTGTGTGGGTGATGATATTGCCTGGATGAAATTTGACCAACAAGGTGACTCTTTTAGGCCCAGGTGTTGATGATAATCATTGGACCTTAGTGAACTTTTGGGTTTAAACATGCCAAATCCTCCCAAGTCCACAGTGTCTGGATTTTTAAAATTCAGTTAGTTCTTGCAAAGATGCGGATATATGTATTCCATCAGCTTTCTTTAATCTCATATCCAATCTGGATTGAAATGGGACCTTCTATCACTGTTTGTTTACATTTTGTCTAGTTGCTAAGTTATGTCCGATTCTTTGCAACATGGACTGTAGCCCACCAGGCTCCTCTGTCCATGGGATTTCCCAGGCAAGGATACTCGAGTGGGTTGCCATTTCCTTCTCCAGAGGATCTTCCTGACCCAGGGATCGAACCCACATCTCCTGCATTGACAGGCAGATTCTTTACCACTGAGCTACCTCGGTTGGTTAAAATAGTTTGATGGGAAACTGGTGAGAAAGAGTCAAAGTTGATTAATAATGCTGGCATGAGACAAGAGAAAGAGATTCTGGGGAGAAGGGAAAAAGTACAAAGACTTGAGAATTTGGTGCAGAAATTAACCTGGCAAGATATAAGATGACATGCTTTCCTTGGTACTCACTTCCACTCCTTGATTTAAAACTTGCTAGGTAACTTGCGGGCCATCAACCCAGAGAATGGGTTTTTTGGCGTCGCTCCGGGAACCTCTGTAAGGACAAACCCCAATGCCATCAAGACCATCCAGAAGAATACCATCTTCACCAATGTGGCTGAGACCAGTGACGGGGGTGTTTACTGGGAAGGCATTGACCAGCCACTGGCCTCAGGCATCAAGCTCATTTCCTGGAAGGGCAAGGAGTGGGACCCCAAGGATGGTAAGCCCCCAGGAGGCCTGGCGCCCCAGCCCTTGGGTGTGTGTGCTGGGCCAGATGCTCAGGGCCCGTCTTCCCTTGCTGCTGTAGGGGAGCCTTGTGCCCACCCCAACTCGCGGTTCTGCACTCCGGCCAGCCAGTGCCCCATCATTGACCCTGACTGGGAGTCTCCAGAGGGCGTGCCCATTGAGGGCATCATCTTTGGAGGGCGTCGGCCTGTTGGTGAGACTCCCGGGCCCTTGGGCTGGGACATGGGTGTGTCACTCTGGGGGGACGTGTCACTACAAGGGCTCACATTCTGTGACCTGGTTGGAAGGTGTCAGGGATACGGAGCTCCCTTTCGCAAATGACAGGGTAATGAGCAAGCTCGGGCATAGAACTTAGTCTCTGGCCACTAGAACTCCTGGGTCCTCGTCCCAGGGATGTGGCTCCCAGTCTGACTTCGGCCACATGGCCCCCTGCCATGACTCTGATGTGGCAGGTCCGCCCTTTGCTCTGGAGCTGCAGCATCAGCCCCTTTAGAAGAGAGACGACACACAGCACATCTTTCCACTTGGGAGATGGCATCGCTGCCCAGGGGGCTGGGGGTCAAAGCCTCTAAGGAGTGTTTCTTTCTCCTGCTAAAGGCGTCCCTCTGGTCTATGAGGCTCTCAGCTGGCAGCATGGCGTGTTTGTGGGGGCGGCCATGAGATCCGAGGCCACGGCAGCGGCGGAGTACAAGGGTGAGTCTGGCCAATATCCGGGGCTGCCAAGAAGGGACAGTGACAGCTCTGTCTCCATGTTTCTCTGTCTCTCTATTTTTCTGTCGCTCTGCTTCTCTGTCTGTCTGTCTCTCTCTCTCTCTCTCTGTTTCTCTATCTCTGTGTCTCTCTGCTCTTTCTGTCTCTGTATCTCTGTCTCTCAGTTGCCCCTCTGTCTCTTTATCTCTTTGTCTCCCCGTGTCTCTCTCTGTATATGCAGAGAGGTACAGAAAGCCAGGCGGCCGTGTCAACAGTAAGTGTGCCTGTAGTCCTGTGAGGCTTCGCTTACCCACAGAGTCCCCTGTTAACAGGCAAAATCATCATGCATGACCCGTTCGCCATGCGCCCCTTCTTCGGCTACAACTTCGGCCAGTACCTGGCGCACTGGCTCAGCATGGCCCAGCGCCCCGCAGCCAAGCTGCCCAAGATCTTCCACGTCAACTGGTTCCGAAAGGACAAGGCCGGCAGGTTCCTCTGGCCTGGCTTCGGCGAAAACTCCCGGGTGCTGGAGTGGATGTTCAATCGCGTGGGCGGGGAAGGCGGCGCCCAACTCACGCCCATTGGCTACATCCCTGATGAGGGTGCCCTGGACCTGCGGGGCCTGGGGGATGTTGATGTGAAGGAGCTCTTCCACATCTCCAAGGAGTTCTGGGAGGAGGAGGTGGAAGAAATACAGAAGTACCTGGAGGAGCAGGTGAATGCCGATCTCCCCCCGGAGATCAAGAATGAGGTCCTAGCCCTGAAGCAGAGAATCAGCCAAATGTAACTAGGTTTGCCTGACCGTCCAACTCCAACCCATACAACGCACCAGGAACAGGAGACATGGTGCTTCCTGAATTCTCACCTCCTGCAGCACCACAATGACCGCACCCAGGGGCTGATTGAAAGACACACCTTAATTTTTCAGATAAGACCATATAGCAGACTGAAGCTAGTCACTAATGAGGTTGGGGAGGGAAATAGCAGGCTCCAGGAAATAGCAAACATTCATGATACAATGCACCTTTGTTCAACTTAGGGACACTCTTCTTTGTCTTTTTCCTTTAGCTGTATCAGTTAGCCAGAATGCACAGAAAAAGACACTTGAGCTGTATATATGTGTGTGTGCACATGTGTGTGTGTCTGTGTACTGTTGTCTAAAATGTATTTAATGACTTTGGAAAAATCTTGGGCAAGATTACCTACTAGTTGTTGCTAGAATGTGATGTTGCTTTCTTATTAATATGTGTGTTTAAATTATTTTTATATACCATGGTTCCTTACCTTTACATAATTTCAACATTTCCCCCTAACACTTCTTGGAAAAAAAAATCACAAAATAAACTTTTATAGAAAAGATGAATTTGCTTGTCTGGTTTTTCTTATCTGAACAGCCAAGAAGAGGGGACTCTGATGAAACCTCTGTGATAGAATCCCCTTCAAAGAACATGGGGCTACCCTGGGGGAGGGGGATGGATGGAGCCAGATGGGGAGGTGTGAGCAGAGAGAGTGTCATCCAGAGGTGACACGGCACGATGCTTTGGGTTTTCTGAATTAACTTGAAGCCGTCGATCAGTGCCCTTGGACATTCACAAACCTTTAAATTGTGGGTCTTGGGTAAGTGGAACAGGTGAGTTTTTTTTTTTTAATCCAAGTATTGACATTAAAATGATTGAGGGCGGGGAGACACCCAGACATGTCCTGTATGGTTGAAATGTCAAGAACAAACAAACAGATGTGTCATCGCTCAGTTGTGTCCGACTCTTTGTGACCTCATGGACTGTAGCTGACCAGACTCCTCTGTCCATGGGATTTTCCAGGCAAAAATACTGGAATGGGTTGCCATTTCCTTCTCCAAACAGGAGAGTTTAAAGCATGCTTTTTGACAAAACCTTGGGTCTGGGGTCTTGGCCTTTCACAAGAATTATATCGTGGTCAATTTCACAGACTTTTGTCAATAAATTCTCTTTTGAGCAACACTTTTCTTCACTGTCATCCACTGGGGAGGAGAGTAGAGACAGAAACATCCTTCAGAAGAAAACAGCAAAAGGCATTGATGGAGCTCCGTCTGTATACAGGGCATCATGCCTTTGATGGGCTCAAGGTGGGCTGCCTTGTACCCTACTCTGGTCCCTCTGTCCTCGGTGTTTCCCGGGGACCCCGGGCAGTTTGAACAGATCACACGCTGGACCGGTCACATGCATTCAATAGACGCACAGGGCTTTCTCTAGCTGCTGGTATCCTTTCTGGGCCAGCTCTCCTGCTCAGCACACACCAGGAAGTCAGTTCTCCTCAGCTCTGCTCGCTTCCACAGCTTATAGGCTCACCGTCCCCTTAAAGTCCTGTGCTGGTTCTGGGATCCACATGGATGCGCAAGCTGAGATCCACCCGATGTTAAGGTGGGGAAACCGAGGCCAGGTGGGCCCTTCAGGGCTGCCAAAGAGTAGCCAGAGTTTTCTTCCCCTTTAAGGAGCTGAGAGCAGACGGGGCTCTGCCGACAAAGTGTCATGTTCTGATAGCAAAACCACTGACAGCGAAAAATCGTTTAACTGAATTAAGCGCTATCTGCTGTATTAATTTAAATCAGTGGCTTTCAGACTTGTTTCTTCCTTTTCGCTACAGAACCCATGCTTGACAGATATTCTGACTAAAAAACCCAGCTTCTAAGGGAGACAGAACAGGAGGCTGCCCACCTGAGGCTGGGTGGGTGTCGGGACCCAGGCCTCCTGTTTTCCTTTTTTCTACTCTTTGGGGGCCTCTAAGGAAGTTTCTTGGACCCCTGAGAGGAACTTTCAGGATATAGCTGGGGCACTGTTTTTAAAATGTAGAACCCGGACTTTGGCGTCCTATTCTAGGCTCTCGGAGGCTTCATCTCTTTTTGAGCAAAGCTGTCTACCTCACAGTTCCCTACGGACAGCATCACCCACCCAGCCCGCAGACTTACACAGGACTGTGTTGCCACCCGGCCCAGGAAGCCAGGGAGACAGCCTGGAGGAGGTGTCTTAAACAGAATAAGAATTTTCAGGGAACCAAAAAGACTCAGCTCTCGCCATTGCTGCCCAAGTCAGTTTCCCCAAACCGAGCCAGCTGTGCTTCACCCACCTCCAAGTCCTAGTCTCTGTGCTGGGCCCACAGTAATAGGGACACTAGGACCTTGATGGCTGAGGTTCTATCGTTGAGCCTGAGCTGTCAAGCGAAGGCAGGAAGGCAGCTAAGGCCAAGGCCATTCGCAGGTGATCAGAGGCCTTGAGAGCGGCCCTTTGCTCAGGGTGGGGGTGAGAATGAGAAGTCAGGCTCCTGGTTCCTGATCAGCCCTCCCCACAGTACACACGAGTCCAAACCAACGGAGGTACCGACGCCCTCTGCTGGGGTCCAGTGTAGCAGCTGCCCCCTGACCTCCATGGGTTCCCGGAGCCCTGCTGGGGTCTGGGTTAAAGACCAGAATACAGTGGATACACAGCACATATTGCACCAGGACAACAAACTTGTCCCTGTGTTCACCTGGGCATCTGAGGGGAATCCAGGGGAGTGGGGGGTGGTGGTGAGGAGGGGGCTCTTGAGGGCCTTCTCCCTTCTCTCCTTCGGCCTGCCCTAACCCAGAGCCTCTGGTCGGCCGCCCCCCACCTCTGGGCCACACAACACGTACCTTCCAGGGCTCTAAGGCCACAGGCATGGGCTCTGGAGACTCCTGGGGCTGTGCCCCGCCAGGGCGGTGACCCCTGCTTTGTCCTCACCGTCAGCGATTGCAGCAACAGGGACTGGGTTCCGTCATGTATGGGAAAGGGCCTGCTGCCTGCCCCCAGGCTCCTGCCCCCTTCCTTCCTTGAGGGTAGTAAATACTGGTGACCTTGGACACCTCCCAGCTCTGCCTTTGACCAGCAGTGTCACCTGAAGTGACACCCAGACCTGCAGCGTGGCATAATAATAATGCCCCTGCTAGAGTCCAAGGAGCATGAAATGAGCAGGCCAGCTCTGCACAGGTTCTGGGACTCGGAGGGTCTGGGTGTGAGTCACTACCCTCCCTCCCTGTAGCAGGGTATCCTCAGGTGATGACGCACAGCTCTGGAAACCTCAGTTTCCTCAACTGTATAATGGGCTCCACTCCATCTGGGCTGACATTCAATACAATGGGACTGGAAGTGAGAAGCTGAAACCCAACCCCCACCCCCATATGGGCTGATGGGGAGCTCCTGCCCCAGCTCCCGGACTGGCCCCAAATCACCCATCCCAGGTCCTCCCCCAGGACCCCCAGACCTTCCCACACAGCGGGGGGTGGGGGGGGCGCTCCCAAATCTGATCCCTGGATTATCTCTGGATGGTCATTACTCCCACTGGTTTTCAAGTATTTTGAACATAACTCCTGTCCTAGCCCCACCCCAATGTTCTGATGCTACACAACCACCCCCCAACTCAGAACTCTGATGAAAACCATAAAGCTCGGCAGGAGGAGAAGAAGCCTTCAAGAAAACCTTGAGTCCACTGACTTCATCGCAGTGTAATGAGATCCAGTTTCCTCCAGGGGAAAACTGGGGGCTTGAGAAGGAGACAAGGTTCAGAGGGAGTAAAATATTACAAAGTGGGTTTTTCTGCCTTTTGGAAATTTTGCCTTGCATTTTCTTGCATGGGAAGCTGAACACAGTGGGACCCCTGGGAGATGCTCTACATAGTTTCTTGTTAAGTATCACCTCCCAGGATCACAGCACAGGGCAGGATGGCTGTGATTCTGATGATCACACAGCTGCTCTCAGGCACCGTGTTCTCTCTGCCCCAGCCCAGAGATTTCTTCGATGCTGCAGAGCTGGGATTCAGGGCTCCCATGGAGGAACAGCAGACGTCACTGGCCCACAGTGACACCATGGTGGGGCCCAGAACACACAGGCCTGGCTGACACCTGCCACATCTTTCACTGACATATTTGTTCCTGGGGACCTGCTTGTCTGCCACCTGCTCAGCACTGTGTGGCCCCCTGGTAACAGGGTATGTAAATGCGTGAATATTCGCATACCAGACCTGCCAGCCCAACGGCAGAACCTTTCTCCAGGAGAAGCCATTTTCAGCAAAATATGCTGTAAATATTTGTTCAGCTCAGGAAAATGACTTTAATTGCATAATTAAACTCGATGTATATGCTGATTCCAGACAGGATGGCTGGGAGAAGCCGAGGCCACATCTGTCCCTTTGCGTTTGTTGAAGAGAGGGGCAAACGGCTTGTTTGTGGAGATATTGCTCTGGTCCCCGTCTTTCCCCTGTGCAATGAGGGTTTGGAGAAAAGTCAGAAAGGATGGAGGAAGGGGCTTAGTGGCTTCTGGAAAGAGGAGAAAGGGGAACATTTCCCCAAATCAGAGAAACAGAGCAATGGGACCCCACCTCTCAGATAGGATTTGCACTGTGTATTCAAAATGTTCTAAGCACATCCTACCTTCCTTGGGTAACTGGTAACTTAAGCAAATGATCAATACACTAGACTGAATGAAGAAGAAAACATTAAATCCCAGCGGTTAATTAAACCCAGCATTCCTCACTAAAGTAAGCATATAAATATAAACCCTGAATGGAAGGAGCTAGCCACAAAAGACACGTACGTTGTGTGGTTCCATTGATGTGAAATGTCCAGAATAGGCAGATCCACAGAGATAGGAATTACATTTGTGGTTTCCAGGGGTCAGGGGTCAGGGAGAAAATTGGGGAGAAATCACTAATGGATGCAGGGTTTCTTTGGGGGCTGATGAAACTATTCTAAAATTGGATTGTGGTGAAGGTTGCACAATCCTGTGAATATATTCTAAT